AAAAAAAAAAAAAAAAAAAAGAAGTAACTTGGGGCTGCCTGGAGCATTAGGCAGCCAGCTGGGGCCAAGGGCAGAAAAGTGGGAGACAACATGCTGGGAGGAGAAACACAGGGAGGAAGCCAGGGGGGTCAGGAGTAGACAGGAGAAGTCATTATCGCTTGCTCCTGTCCTATCCTGGCATCCAGGAGAGAATCTCAGGGTTTTCACCTACTTAGCTGGAATGCCAAGGAATGGTGGGTCTCTGGAGTCTTGCTTCTGCCAGTGACCAGAAATGGGCAGTATCTTATTAAGCAGAACTGTGGACCACAAGGAGCCTCACAGGTCAGGGACCATTCTCTGAGCCATCACCGACATCAGGGGCTCTGCCCAGCCCTGAACCTTGGGCTGTGGTGACAGCTGCCAAGACACCCCTTTATCAGTCAGATATAGACTTGAATCCTTCCGTAGGCATGCGGCCTGAGGGCCACCACTCATGAGAAGAGATGGAGGAGAAAGAGCTGAAAGGAGGAAGTCCTGGCCATTGGGATGCATCCTGGCCATCTGCACCCAACTCCCCAGAGCACAGTGGCATGGTGAGCTTGACTGGACAAGGGCCAGGAAGTAGGTATTTTAGCCTGGTGGGCCAGGAAGTCTCTATCATACTCTACTTTATTATTCGTAGCATGAAAGTGGCCCCATCCAATGTCTAGACTAATGAATGTAACTGTGTCCTAGTAAGGCTTTATTGATGGACACTAAAATTTGAATTTTATATTACTTTTACATCACCAAAATATTCTTGTGGTTTTCCTTCAATCACTGAAAAATGTGAAATTCACTCTTAGGTGATGGGGCAGAGTTCTGATTGGGACAAAGCTTCCCCATCTATACATAATTAATTGTTTGGGCTACAGGAGGTTTTAGGAAAACTGCAGGTCCCTATCCAACCTGTTGGTTGGCAGTGGAACCTGCAATTAGTGTGCTGCTAACCAGCTCCGAGGAGATGCTCAGAGTGTTTGTTCCAGAACCATACCTAGAGCGGCAAGAGCTCAGGAAACCACTTTTATCACTTACTTGAAGCACTGGGGACTTCAAGCATAGAGCCTCTCACCCTTTCTCCCTGCCAGCTGGTGGGTGCTCAGGAGGCAGAAGGCTCCCTGTGGTGTGGCTCTGACGGGCTTCTTTGGCGGTGGAGGACAAGTGGGTGCCCACATGCTCAGACCTCAAGTTATGCTCCCCTGGCAACATCTGTCCACCATGTCGCCTGAGCCCAAAGCAGGAAATTTAGTGGGGAAGGATTTATTTGCTCTTTTACCAATGTTTGCACATTCTTGGTCATTTTATAAATATTAGTTCTTAAGGATTGAAACAGTCTCTTTTAGTCAGGCCTAAAAGGATCCAGGTTGCTAGAATTTAGTAAACACTTTTTTTTTTGGAAGGGGGGTGGTGATAGGGGATGGGGAGTTCCGAGGAAAAATAAAACTGCCAAATTTGCAATAGTGTAAAGCTCCAATCTCAGGTTCTGTGCCAGGGACAAAACCACATTCAAAACCCCTGGGGACACAGGACGCTTCTCTAAGGCAGGACTGGCAGACATGTGGGCCAGGAAATGGCTCCTGGAATGTGCAGCGCCACACTACTAGCACCCTGGTGCGCAAGGCTTTGGAGCCAAGAAGTTTGCCGAGATTTCCCTGCCCTAGAGAATGGAGGAGCAAGCCAATGTCCCCAGGGT